AGAAGTAGTGGAACAGCCTTCAAGGCATGAACTACCTGTTACATTCTAGTCACCTGAAATTTAATTCGGTTTAGCAACCTCATGCTTCCTGTCAGGAATATGAGCATGAAAATAAAAAGTCCCAATTACATAAAAAAAGGTCTCATGGTTTTGGTTTCCCACCAGTGCGGATTTGCCAGCATTCATCCTCACTGTGACCTTGTCAAGACAGTGGGAGGGGGGGTGACTTCACCAATAAAACTTTTACACCATTTTTAAATTTACTAAACAGATTATGAATTTTGAATAATTTAATTATTGTGAAAAAATAAATGCGTAAACACTTATTTAACAGCCTTTAATTTTATGTCATTGTTTTCTTCTTGAACCTCACACATCAATGTGTATCAAATATAAAATAATCATTTGAAGCTTTCTATATCCTACTTTCCCACCATAAAAACATACATGCGCTCTACAATTAACTTTGGAGATGGCATAAACCTCTAGTTTTTATTAGAATTTCTAGGCATTGAATTATCATTAAAATTATTACTTGTATACAATTAACCATAACAACAAAATATTATCAACTTGCACACTAATTCATAAATTTAAAGGTAAATAATTGCATATTTATCTAAATGTAATTAGTTCACATAATCATCAGTAAAGATGCACATTGCCATAACTTTATGCCTAATTTATAACTACTGAGGAAATGTATTTTAGCACCCAAATAAATGAAAATAGACCAAGTTGTCTACTGGTTGTTTTCAAGTTAGTTAGCGAGTGCTGGATGAGACACTGGGAACTTAATGTAAAGAACTCCCTGTGCACACCACCCTTGGAAGGTCAGGAGTCACTGGCAATGCATTTAACAAACCGAGAGCATCCAGAGCAACTTATTCCCTGCAGAGATGGAGAGCTAGCTTCTGCTGGACCAGCCCCCCTCTCCCCTCAGCTCTGCTGGACCAGCCCTCTCTCCTCAGCTCCACTGAGTCACCCTTGTCTCCACAGCCCAACTGAACTGTCCCTCTCTCCATAATTCCAACGGAACTACTCATCACTCCATCCATCTTCTCATGGATGGTCTCAGACTGGAGAGCACATCTCCTCCCGTTTCCCACCCTTGCCTTAAAAACATCTAGGACAAATGTCAATACAAACTGGTTTTAAAAGCCTTATGCACGGACTTGAAAGCAGACATATAATCTTTCAAGCCTTCACATTTTGTCGGTGCCTGTGTTCTATCCAATCCACTGAACTACAAGTCCAGGCACCACCAGGCTGAAAAGATCTGATTTCCCACTCAAAGGGCATCTTCGCTCCTGCAACGCTGCCTCAATTTTTTTTTTCTTTTTTTAGTGGGGGGGTGGGTCTGGGCATCTCTCAGTTCTCACTTTCCAACATCTCGAGGTTTGGAGTTGGAGCCTTCCCACAAGAGTCAGATGTTACTCAAGTGGTGGAGCCATTTTGGAAAAGAGTTTAGCAGTTGTTTAAAACATTAAATGTAATTTTAAACATGACCCAGCAACTCCACATATAGGTATCTATACAAGAGAATGAAAATATATAGCTACACAAAAACCTGTATATAAGTATTTGTAGTAAAATCATTCAAAAGAGCAAAAAAGCAGAAATAACCCAAATGTCCATCAACTGATTAATATATAAATTAAATATCTTATGTCCATGCAGTACAATATTATTTAGCCATAAAAAGAAAGAAGTAATATACCAGTTACAACATGGATGAACCTCAAAAAAACGCAAAGTGAAAAGGCCCAACACAGAAGAGCACATATTGTAATATCTTGCTCATGTGAAATGTCCAAAACAGGCCACTCCACAGAGTAATAAACAGGTGGCTTCGGCTGGAGATGAGGGTGGGAACACAGAGGCTCCAGGGTGCCTGGAAATGTTCTCAACTGGATGGTGGTAACAGTTATGCCAAACTGTATACTTACTTAAAAACACTGAATTGTACACTTAAAAAAGATGAACCCAATACTTGGAAAGTCTCACCTTCCCAAGGAGTATCTCTGGTGCCCAGAAGTCAACATAGGAAAACCCTGTTCCTTAAAAAAAAAAAAAAAAAAAAAAAAAAGTGAATTTTATGGTATATAAATCATAACTAATTATAGACATTGTTTTGGTTGTTGTTTTTGGAACCTGGAATTGAACCCAGGGGCGCTTTACCACTGAGCCACATCCCCAGCCCATTTTATTATTAATTTTGACACAGGGTCTCACCAAATTGCTGAGGCTGGCTTTGAACTTGCAATCATTCTGCCTCAGCCTCCTGAGCTTCTGGGATTACAGGTGTGCACCAGGCTAACCATTGTGGGTTTGTTGTTGTTGTTGTTGTTTGTTGTTTCATTTTACATTTTGGTACTTGTACTGTCAGTCTTCATTACAGCCATCCCTGTATGAGGAGGTATTTGGGGTTGGGAGTGTGGCTCAGTGGTAGAGTGCTTACCAAAGACCTGAAAATACAAAAGCACCTCATGGGTTTTTCATTTTGCTGTTGTTGTTGTTGTTGTTTGTTTTTCCTGTATTTTAGTAATGACCAATGATGAAAGACATTTTTTTTTCATGTGCTCATTGGCCATTGGCACATCTTTGGTGAAATGTCTGTTTAAATCCCTTGTCCCTTTTTAATTGGACTATGTGTCTTCTTATTATTAAGTTGGGGTGAAGAGCTGTCTTTCCAGGGTAGCAATTAAAACAATTTAGTAAGTTGATGCTTCACAAAAAACAAATTAATGGATATACCAATCTACTAATTAAATTATTTATCTGTTTAGAGACAGGGTCTTCATAGGATCTCCTGGGCTCAAGTGATCCTCCCACCTCACCCTCCAAGTACTGGGACCACAGGGGCTTGCCACCAGGCTTGACTTAATGCATTAATCTTTTAAGGGGCCTTCTATGGCAACGTATGAAATTAAGCTGAAAACCAAGACTCATTCTATAACTTTTTAACTTAACAGTTTTTAATGTTTTATTTTTATTTGTGTATTATGGACATACACGACAGTGAGGTTCTTTGGACATATTCCTACATGCATGGAGTACAGTTTGCTCCATTTCACTCCCCAGTGCTTCCTCTTTACCCCACCCCCCCACTGTCTCTCCAGTCCCCTTCTTCTACTTTACTGGTCTTCATTCTATTTGTTACTTGTTTAATCGGTGTTTTATAGATATGCATAAAGGTGGAATTCACTATGATAGACTCATATATGTATGAAGCACAGTTTGTCAATTTCATTCCAAATTTCATTTCTTTTCCTGTCCCTCCTCCCTCCCCCTGAAGTGCCCTCCTCTACTCCACTGATCTCCCCTCCATTTTTGTGGCATCCTCTCCCCTTTTTTTCTTACTTTGCTCCAGCTTCTGCACATGGGAGAAAACACTTGACCCTGGACTTTCTGAATGTGACTTATGTCGCTTAGCATCATGTTCTCCAGCTCCATCCATTTACCAGCAAATGCCATAATTGCATTCTTCTATGAGCAAAAAGAACATAAACAGACAGTTCTCAAAACAGGAAATACAAATGTTCAACAGATAAAATGTTCAACATCCCTAGCAATCAGGGAAATGCAAATCAAAACCACATTGAGATTCACCTCACTCCAATCAGAATGGCAATCATCAAGAAAACAAATACTAATGAATGCTGGTGAAGACAGGGGAACAGGTACATGGCGGGAGGAGCCTGAGTTTTTACTTCAAGTAAGATAAGAGAGAATGATTAGATTCATATTTATTAGAATCTGTCTGTGGAATGGAGAATATCACGTGGCAGAAAAGGAGACCATTCGAGAAGCTTCTGTGATGTTCTAAGTCAGAGGGACAGTAACTCAGAATTGATGACCCTGGATATAGAAAGTCGCCGTCAGATCCAATTATATATTTAAAGTAGAATCAGCAGCAGTGGGTGATGGATTATAATTCATTCACTCAACATTTATTGACTGCTCACCATGCATACTTCTGGGAACAAAGTGATCAGCAACGGACACAGGAGCTAAAAACTCTTCCCTAGAGAGCTTACTTTCTAGTCAGAGAGACAGAAAATGAGCCACATTATCTTATTTTGCTTTGTGTTTTGGTATTGGGACTTGATCCGAGGGTCACTTTACCACTGAGCTACAACACCAGTCCTTTTTATTTTTTATTTTGAGACAAGTCTTACCAAATTGCCTCCTGAGGCGCTGAGATTACAGGTGTGTACCATCGCGCGTAACTAAGCCATATAAATTTTAAAATACATATAACATTTCTCATAGTGATAAGCACTGTGAAAAGGAATGAAGAGTAAAGCCAGGAAGGGGTTAGGGTCAGGATAGCCGCAGGAAGACCTTTCAGAACAGATGACACTGAGATCTGATTGAGGCAAGGGAAAAAGCCACATGGGTTTATGGAAACAGCAAAATGCACAGAGCTGAACAAAGGTGAGAATGTCAAGGCAGGAGCAAGCCTGGTGTGTTCCAAGTCAGGGAGCTGGGACTGGGGGTCGAGAAATGGGAGTAGATAGGGTGAGATTATGGGACAAGAGAAACTGTAATTGAAGATGAAAAGTGGTGAGGGGCAGGACTGAAGGGCAAGAGCTAAGACTGGACATTGGGATCGCTGAAGAGGGCTGGAGATATGGTGGGGCAGAGAGCAAAGACAGAAAGCAAGCAGGCAACTGAGGGTTCAAGAGGAGGCACAGAGGCAGAAAGGTGCAGGACAGGACGGCAGAGACAGGGCAGCCCAAGTCAACAGGGGAAGGCAGAAGATGGAGCGGAGGAGAGGGAGGCACAGAAGGAAGGTGGCCTGGGGGCTGCAGGAGAGAATTCAAGTGCAGCACCAGCAGGCCACTCACAGGTTCTGGCGTCCCCGCCCCGCTTTAGCGGTTCCTACAGACGCTTGACCTGCCATGAGAGGCGTCAGGGAAGAAACCTGAGCCAGCCTTTAGAGACATGATAAAAGGTCCTAGGTGCGTGGGAAGCAGGACACCAGAGTCCTCTCACAGGCTCTGTACAGCATGGCCATGGGGCTCGCCCAGTGGCTGGGCCCTCTGCTCCTGGTCTCCCTCTGGGGGCTCTCAGCTCCAGGTAAGTGGAAGATGGAGGGCCAAGAGGGGGCCAGGGGCCACCTGACTCCCGCCCCTCTGTGTCTTGCAGCCTTGCTCCTGAGACGCCTGGGGGAGCACATGCAGCGGCTCCAGGAGAACTCTGGTCTGCACCTGCGCCTGGGCTCAGGCACTGCCACCCTCCCAAGAGCAGGGTGGCTGGAGCAGCCGCTGGACCCCTTCAATGCCTCTGACGGAAGGTCCTTCCTGCAGGTGAGACCGTCAGTTCACTGCCCACCCTGACGTGCTCTCAGTGAGACCTCTGGCTGCCTACCTCTCAGTGTACAGTTTATTCCTTCAGTCCACACCTCTGTCCACACCTCTGCCCCTGCTCTGAGTCTCATACTGTACTGCCTCCGTGTCCCCTTACAGTCCTCTCATGCAGCTCCACTGCCCCAGGTCTCAGGTCCACTTAGTATAGCCGCCCCCCACCCACGTCTCAGCTTCACCTTTACTCTCAGCTCTCTCCTCAGTGGCCCACATCTTGGTCCCTCATGTTCCTCACTCTTTCCTTCTCTGTCCCTCTTACCCTCTCATTGCCCCTCAGTGTCCCCTCTCCCTGACCTGCAGGTGGCACACGGAGCCTTCCAGCAGTATGTAGCAGAAATGTGAACTAGCTTGGTAATCGGACCTGACTCTCAACCCACACTCACAAATCCCTCTTAAATGAGTAAACACATTTGTGTTTTTCAGTGCCTCCTTTGTATACAGTCTCCCAAGCTTTATCCCACTGGGTCCCTACTCCCGAATTCACCCAAACTCATCACATATCCTACGATTAGTACTTCAAACAACAGGAAGTGCCTGCCATTCAGTCCTGGGGACATGAGCAGACAAAAATACCTGCACATGTGGCTCTTGCACCCTGGAGGAGGAGAAAGAGAGAAATAACTCCACAAATAGACATTCTGCTGCTGGATATCTAAGGAAAGTCCCATTCCCTCTCATTCTGCCTTTCTTCTCCCTCTTCCCCCTCTCAGAGGTACTGGGTGAATGACCAGCATAGGGCTGGCCAGGAGGGACCTGTATTCCTGCATCTTGGGGGAGAGGGCAGCCTCGGACCTGGCTCAGTGATGGCAGGTAAGAGGCAGGGGGGAAAGAGGCCTGGTTGGAAGCTGGTGGGGACAGCAGGGGGAACTGCAGTGGTGGCACTCTGAGGCCTGAGGGGGCAAGGGACCAGCTTGCATCTCCCTCCCCACCCCATGCTCCTCACAGGACACCCGGCAGCCCTGGCCCCTGCCTTCGGGGCCCTGGTGATCAGCCTGGAGCACAGATTTTATGGCCTGAGTGTACCCCCCGGAGGCCTGGGCATGGCCCAGCTTCGCTACTTGTCCAGCCGCCACTCGTGAGTGGGGGTAGGGAACGTGCTTGGGCTTCAGGACTAGTGATGTCTGCCTGGGCCCCTCTCCATCTGTGCCTCTCCACTCCCAGTGCCCACCTGGGAGCCTCGGGCTCCCTGTTCCTTCTCTTTCACAGTGTCTTACTCTTTCTTTCTCTGGGGCTCTGACTCTCCCTGCCTTTCTCTTACCCTCCATTCTTGTCTGTCTCTGTCTCACTGTGACCCATTGGTCCAGATCACCAGCACCTTCACCAGGCTCCCTGGTTCCGCCCTTGACTTGCAGGTGCAAACCAGAATGATCCTGTTAGAACACACACCAGATCAGGATCCTGTCTGGCTCCAGTCCCTCACATGTCCCTTACATTGTTCAGAGTGAAGCCCACGTATTTACCAGGGCCACAAGGCCTCCTAGTTGACAGGGCTCTAGCCTCAGTTAATTCTGACCCCTGACTCTCCGACTCACTAGGCTCCAGATGCCTGAGGTCCTTGCTGTTCTCCAGGTACATGTCTATCTTGGGCCTCTTAAGACTTCCCTCTGCAGGAGTGGCTTCCTGCAGACATCTGCAGGGCCCCTCTCCACCCCTCTGTGCCCACTGTTACCAGCCCCACAATGCCCCCGCAGCTCTATGATTCTCCAGGGCCTCTTCCCTCCCCTCCCCAGTGTCTGTCTCTGTGGCAGCATCTTTGCCATCTGTCTCATTCTTGTCTCCACTGCTCTGTGCCCATATCTGTTTCTTTGTGTGTCTCTAAATGTCAGTTTTTTCCTACCACCTAAACTGGTTTCTAACTGCACAGTATGGCACTAAGTGAAGACAGAAAGCCCTGAGGAGGCAAAGAGGACGTTAGAAATATCCCAGTATTTCTCTGCTTTTCTCGGTGTCTCACCTTCTCCCCCACCTTTTAACCCATCCAGCCAGGACCCCTCCTCCTCCTCTGAGTAGCTGTCTTCCATCGCCTTCAACTCCTCCCCATATTTGTCAAGTTTTAGTATAAAGTGCCTTGGAGCCCGGCATGGTGGTGCACACTTGTAATCCCAGGTGGGGGAGGCTGAGGCAGGAGGATCACAAGTTTAAGGTCCGTTTCAGCCACTTAGCGGGGCCCTAAATGACTGAGTAAGAGCCTGTCTTTAAAAAGGCTGGGAACGAGGCTCAGTGGTAACGCATCCCTGGGCTCAAACCCCAGTACCAAAAAAAGAAGAAAAACGAAGTGACTTGGAAAGTTTTCCTCTTCCACTAAAAACAGTGAGGGGAGGTGGGTAAAGGCTTCCTAACAGGCGGAAGACAGGATCTCCCCCGACCTAGACACAGGTGTTTTCGGAAAAAAGACCTCAAGGTCCCTCAGAAATGCTAGAGAACTGAGCCTGGCCTCGGCCGACTCTGCCATCCAAGTCCCTCGGTGGGCTGCCCGCGGGTTGGATCTGCAGGAATTCACACCGCGGCGGGCTGACCGAGTTGCCCCGGTCCCCAGGCTGGCCGACGTGGTCTCTGCCCGCCTGGCTCTTTCCCGCCTCTTCAACGTCTCCTCCACCAGCCCCTGGATTTGCTTCGGAGGTTCCTACGCCGGCTCCTTGGCTGCCTGGACCCGACTGAAGGTCCTGGGACCCCTGCGATGGGCCGGGGAGGGGACCAAACGCGGGGTCCAGCGCGGCGATAGGAGCCCTCCCCACGACGCTCCGCGTGCACAGCCGTCTCCCCAGGGCTCGCGGGGCCTGCGGCGATGATCCCAGGCGGAGGGCGCGCACGCGGTGCCCGCTGACGCCTCTCCTTTCTCAGTTCCCGCATCTCATTTTCGCCTCGGTCGCCTCCTCTGCCCCGGTGCGGGCGACGCTGGACTTCTCCGAGTACAACGACGTGAGAATGTGGGCGACAGGGGAGGAAGAGGAGGTCCCAGCGGGCGGAGCCCTGGACACCTCCCTGAGTATCCTCCCCTTCTGGACTGCAGGTGGTGTCCAGAAGCCTCGCGAACGCGGCGATTGGTGGGTCGCTGCAGGTAGGAGGCGGGATCAGGCGAGGGGCATAGGGTGAGAGGCCAGACCTCGGAAGCCGGGCCGCGGAGGGCGACCCCGCAGGGTGCTGCAGGGGGAAGCGCCGGGTCTGCGAAGCCCGGGGGAGCTGGGTGGGCGGGGCGGCAGGGGCAGAGGCGCACCCCGCGGGGTGGGCGGCGCCTTGTAGAGCGGAGCCTATCGGC